GGGGAAGATAAAGCTGCGATGGACTAGTATTCCGTTCAAGAGGGAGTACTGAAATACTCCAAGTCGTTTCATCTTACGGAAAGCGGAGATAAGTCCGGCCTGATGGGCCCCTTGGCTCATATGCAGACTTAACCTTACTCTGGTATAAACGCTTCTTCAGAAATATCAACGTAAGAGTTCAATATATATTTAACGAGAGTAACGAAATGGACCTCTAGGTTTTTTCCGTTTTTCTTGTATTAGGATAGTATTATATTTTTTCTCCGTACTTCAAAAAACTAAGAGATAATTAAAGGCTCAAATCAAATCATTGCTGTATTTTTGAAAGAAAATTGTTTCTGACTATTTCAAAACCAACAAGTTAATTGCTATATTGTCGACGGGGCCATTGCCCAGTTGCAATCATCGGGAATAATAGTACACTATAAACTATGTACAATCATGGAAAGCTTTTATCTCTGAGGATCGCTGTGGTTGAATGAGATATACGAGGCCTTGTTTCTTTAAAAGTTTCTATTTTAGAAAATGTTTTGGCCTTTTATACCACATATCAATATTTCACTTTATTTTAGGGCCTGTTTACAAGGATAGAGGGTTACTCTAGCAAGCGGGTTACCCTAGCACTCACACATTTCCTCTTTTTTTCTTCTTCGTGTTTACAAGGCAGCCAGGGTTGCCCGGGAAGGCGGGTTAACTTTTGCCCCATTTATATGGTCTCGGGTACCCGAGACAAGCCTCCCCTCGAGGTACCCTGGCCGAGGTACCTTTTAGCTAATTTCTTTGCAAAATTCAACCAACCGTTTACATTAGGATCGCGAACCCGTCTCGGGGGGCGACACAACTCGGGTGGGCGAGTTGTCTCGCCCCGGCAGGTAGGGTAACCCTGGCAAGCGGGACAACTTTTCTTCATATAAACGCTTTGGCTCCCCTTACTGGGACAACTCTCGGCGTGGCGAGTGTCACGTAATGCCTAGATTTAGGATTTAAAGCAAAAATTCGTATCAAAGAAGTGAAAATTAACTCGGCAAAACCCACTGTGATCGAATAACTGAGGGAACCTCAAAGAAAGAGAGATATTTGCACATTTGATTATTCAATATGGGTTATGAATAATCACGCAGGGTTAATTTTGACTCGGCCTACAGGGACTACGTTTTCACATATAGACGCTCGCTAAAGTTACCTCGGGGACACGGCTGTCTCGGGTACCCGAGACCATATAACTCCAGGTAGGGTTAACCCGCCTACCCGGGTTAACTTTCTTATTGTTTCCAGACCATTTAAGTGTAACCGCGCCTTAACTTGTCCCGGGTTGTAGGTTTACCCTACCTGTGAAATTTTGTTTGTAAACCCGGGCTATCTTTTGCCCTCTAGCTAGGGTTAACCCGCTTGCTGGGGTAACCCTCCCTCCTTGTAAACAGGGCCTTAGTTTCTCTTTTTTTTCTTTCCCTGTTTTTACACCCACCTTGTGTTGTTGCTGAATATTCCTCGGATGTTCTTTCTTTAAAATACACAATACAAGCCGGCATGGAAACACCGTAGGCAAAGAATTGCATAACTTCGGGGATGATGGCTAACCAAGGGTTTGTCAGCAGTCCATAGATAACGAAACCTGCCACATAGAAGGCAAGAGACAAGTTAACTGTGTTTAGAACTCCTAATTTTCGGATCACGATTCCCGAGGAACCAAATGAAAATGCGCCTGCGATGTTACGACTTATTCCAGCCACGCCTATAACCCACGTGGCTTGCGATGGGTCGATATCAGTTAGATACCAGAACATGAAATTGCTAAAAATGCCGTCAACTATCCCAAGGTATAGAATAATGACGATAAATGCAATGTTATGAAGGTTTAACAAGACATCTTTTAGGGATGATTCTTGTATTTCCCTCTTGGTTCTGCGAGAGTCTGTTGCCCTTAATTCATCCTGTTTGAAGTCAATCATTAGACCCAGTATAAAAGCGAACAGCAGCACAATCGAGAAAGGGAACATTGTTAGTCCATAATCATCCTGAATGACGCCGCAAACTCTAACAGTGTTGGATTTTGCAACAGGTGAAACCATCAAATAAAGAATGATTTGACCAACGTTTCCCCACATTCTAAACCTTCCATAATTAGTCGACTCAGTGCTGTCGAGGTTTTCTAAAAGAGATGAATCTGCAAGACTTTTCGTTGGCGCAGCAATGAATTCTGTAATAATAAAGAGAACCAAAAGAATAAGGAAAATCTGCAACAGCTCTTGACTTTGCCCAATATCTTCTTGATCACTAGTCTTATTGAGCGACTTCTCCATCCATGTTTTGTTATAGGGATGCTTTGGCGTTTCCATGGCAACTCTTGATTGACATTCCGGTTCAGAAGGTCGTGGTATCAGTAGCAATATAGGCGCTAATGTCTGTGATACCAGACTAACAAGAAAAGCAAGTTTTCTTGAGTTTGTTTCGTCCGCCACGTATCCTATGATTGGTGCTCCTGCGCCGCGTGCGAGAGGAATCACTCCTGAAAGAATTCCCACATAATTTGCATTGAGTCCCAGCTGTTTAAGATAGATAGGAAGATATACTAGCCTCGTGACGAATGCAGACAGAAAGAAAAAGTAAAATGCTTGAAATATAAATTTGGTTCTATCAAATGACCAATGACTTTTCCATCCTTTTCCGCTCACAGTGTCCATAGTCGGTCGGTGTAAATATATACAATGCGCCAATGGACCTAGGGAATGAAACGAAAGTATTAAAAAAAATAAAAATAACACGCAAGACTTTCATTCAAACAGAACAGCCGAAGAAATTTGAACGACACTTCTTATTCTTCCATAAACCTGAAACGCCTGAAAAACTACTAATTATAACTCCAACAAAAATCGGTGTGTAATCAAACCACACAGCTAAGTAATTCGCACTTTTACTAGCAATTCGCTGAAAACAAACGTACATAAACAAGCTAAATATACAGAGCAGGACACCAAAATAAACTGCTAAATGAAGCAAGCAAAAATGACGGGAAAATAACGAAACTTGCAGGATTTGTGTGGCGACTACGACGACTAAAACATAATGACAATATCAACTAAAAAACTAACAACAGAAGAGGCTATACAGAACAGTATATCGCAACAACGGATGAGAAAATGTACACGAAAATATGAAACGTTGCATAACCGAAAATAACCAGCGAAACTAATTATAATTACAAATATTGCCAAATTTTCGTAGCAGTGAGATTGAAATCAAACATTTAAAACAGACGACACACCGTTTAAATTTGTAAGACATGTTTCGGATACTCAGCATCCATCTTAAGTTAAAGGATGTTTACAAGTGAGTGACTTTATATAAAGTAGGTAACAAGTAGGTGTAAATTACAAAATGTAGATTAGTAGTACAAATCAGTGAAAAAGTTACATAATACTTGAGGGATACAAAAAAGGGTGTGAGTACAAATCGGTGAAAAATACTGAATACAAATAGTAATTAAAGTAGGAGTGTAAATTAACATGTTTGAGTTGTTTATTCAACGCGAGTCTTTCCCATTCAATATGAAGGGCTTCTTTTATCCTAAGTTGGAAATTAATAAGAGCCGAGTCTAAGGTGGAAAAACAATTAAAAGAGCATAGATTCTTACACGACTTAGAACCCTGAAGATGTTTATAGATAAAGGAATTGCTCACGAACCCTGGTGCCAAAGTGTCTGGTGGTTTCACCGACATAACAGGTGTGAGTGACATCCTGCACATGTAAACTTATAGACCACTTGGGAACGGAGCGCACTGGGGATCGAGCGATTCACACTGAACATGTTACTTAACTTACAGGGAGTGAAGGCTAACCTAATGTCTAAATCCTTACAATATTTCTTAGCGATGGTTTTGATTTTACGTTGCGCAAAAAGGGAAAAAGGGCCAATATAAGGTAATTTGAGAAACCGTTTGGTCGTTCCCTTGGAATGGTCCTGCCGGGATACATCAGCTGAGGTGTTGTGAACCTTATAAAGGTATTGATTAACTATCCATTGTATAATATTACACGGGAAACAATTTTTCATAAGAATAGATGTTAATTGTTGGATGTCGGTGTGAAAGCCGCTCCAAGTGTTGTTGATTTTGAAGGCACTGTCCACTAATATACGAATTTGACCAATTTTGTAAGAAAAGGGTGTAAAACTATTTTTTCCGCCCCACGCTATTAACCCCACCGCCACTACCCACGGGCATTTTGTACTCTCCCCAGTTTCGCTCGTATCAAGAGACCAAGATGGCGGCCCATCGAACTCAATGATCGACATCTACGATCTCACGGAAAAATAGGGGACTGTGAACAGTCTAGTTGGGGATTAGAAGAATTAGAAGCTTGCTTAAGCATTTTATACTCTTTCTTTAGTATCCTTATGAAACGTTGCAACTTACTCTCGGCTCGTCCCTCCTGGGTCTACCCCACCCTTTCGCCCCGTAGTCTCCTCTATTAACACTTACAACTACAAGCCGTATCAAGCATGTTTGGCGCGCGCATGCTTCCCACCCTTGCGCAGCGGCTTATATCCTAATCTTGTTCCCAGAATTTTCGTTCCCCTTGACCAGCGGTCGGAAAACGAGAGCTCTGGGAGCAACCATTTTGAAATAACCGAATTCTGGTGATTCCGCCCGTCCGGTTTTCACTGCGCAGTCTGCATCTATGGCGCATGCCTGAAATGGCTGCTCCCAGAGCTCTCGTTTTCAGACCGCTGGTCGAGGGGAACGAAGACTCTGGGAACGAGATTGCTTGTATCCATAGTTTGATCTGTGTTTAATCAAACATGTTTTAACCGTTTGGCCACCCACTTCAACATCAGCATGTTTGGTTACCAAACAATGTTTGATGACGTTTGGTCGCCAAACATTTACCGTTTGGACAAGCCTTTACACAATATAACTTGTTGCTGCGGAGCGACCGTGGGGAGCGAGCAGCAACATAATCAGGATTTAAGGGAAATATATAAGGGGCGACGAATTCTCGAATTCATCACTTTTTACCACAATGCATTGCATTTAACCACACTTTTTACCACAATGCATTGCATTTAACCAGAGTGCACTGCGCCACTTTTAACCAGAGTTCTCTGCGGCATTGCGCGAGGAAAGCACGAGGATGTCATACCGTCGTACCGTCGTCTTTTCGCATGAATTCCAGTGAGAAAGGTTAGTGGTAATGTTTTGCCTTGATTTACGTGTACTACGAGTTGAAGAAGCTCGTGCTTGACTTTTCCAACTCCCGCTTTCGTTTTTAATGCAGTATGTGAAAGTTTTACAAATCTGGACGCTTTCGATTTTCGCGATCTGTATCGTTTCATGTCCAAACATAAGTTTAGTTCACCATGTGCTTATCTTGTCGCGATCTCTTGATATGTACACATCACAAGTTGATACATACAAGGACAGATGTTAAGTTACATTTTCGTTGTT